AATGAAAGTGCAAATGAAATATTATTATAGTACTGCCTGAGTTTGCAACAAAATTAAAATGTTGTTGCACTGAAAGATTTGTGACAGCAAAACAGAATAAGATTCAATCTCTTTTGACTGAAATCACTGGTTTGTACAATTATATTCTGTATCCAACACAATAAAAAATAACTAGTGAACACAAACTGTTGAAGTATAATATTCGCTTGAATTTCATAAGCAGAAAAGGGTAGCTAATTGTTACGTTACAAGGTTTACTAAATCAAAATCAGGAACGTGTAGGAAAATTCTAATTCTTGAAAAACAAACCTAAAAATGGTTAAATATTAGTTTTTTTTTTCAAAAGATTTTTGAAAGTGAGAAATGGGTTGTGAATGATCAATTTTTATAACCGTGATGACTGATATGCAGGCAGGCGTGTTTCATTTCCTAGGTCTGGTATCGGCTGTAAAGCACTGTTTGTAGCAAAGAGCAATGTGACATCTTTACAGAAAAACCCAGCCCAGAAGCACTGTGAAAAAATAAGCCAGACCACTATTCTGTGCAGCCCCTGCAGACACCTTTCATTATCTTCCAACACGTTTTACAATTGATTATGCTTATTCCCTTAAAATCTAATTGTCTATTTGCTGGCCTGCAAGTAGATGATACAAATTGGGAAAAAGAAAGGAAGCACTGCCTCACTCTGAGGAGCTGTTGTTCTGCTCCTACAGCTAATGATTTAATTCCAAAAATTAGCACAAACATGCAAATATTATAATTTGGAGAAAACACCTTTCTTATAAAAAATAATATTTTTTTTTATTAGCCTACTAAAGCAGATAAATATTTTTTCAATTTGTTTCTTTCTAGCTGTACATCCTAGAAATTGTACTATTAAAAGATTATTTTTAATGTTGAAGATCTTGAATTCTCATTAAAGATCTAATATTTGAATACTGAACTTTAGCAATACAATACTAAAGTAACTTATTGTTCAAAATTACCCATTCCTAAACAAAGATAATATTTTCAATATATTTAAGCATTTGAATTCAACACAACAAAATGAAAATGGTTTTCAAAATGCCTCACAGTATGATGTCTACAAAAGCATTCCAGCGTTTGTCTATGAAAACTAAAAATAAACTCATGATGCCAATGACCTTTTCAATAAAATGAGCTAATGTCAACTTATAGGAATGAAAAGGAAACTGTCTTGAGGTGTTTTATTCAGTATCTTGAACAAATTATGTTAATATAATACAACAGTCTTTAATGTTTCAGCAAAATAAGATTCCAGATAAATTAGGTTAGCACTGACTGAACCTGAGATGCATGTAGCATAAACATTTCTATCAGGCTTGAACTACTAAGAGTTTCTGTTTTTTTACCAAGCAAGTCTTTAAATCAGACACTCTAAGCAATTTCTTAGTGTACAGAATCCCTCCTGCACTGACTTTTAATATGAGGAATGTACTTCTTTCAAATGGATATTAGCATATAAATCAACACAACTCAAGCAAAATATCAAGTTCCTGCATCTTTTAGTATGCCATGTTATTTTTCTCTTCTGCTTTTGAAAGGACATAAAAAAACCTCATCAACTTAACATGACAAAGCCTATGCCTTCTGAATATTTGGTGTAACTGATGATAATCAAACAATATACGCAACCTTGATAAGTCATTGACTATCATGTATTACTTTCAACTTGTTTGCTTCCACAATTACATCATTCATTACTTTCATCCTTCATTTTCATTATGTCTTTCATTAAAATACTTTCTAATGACAGCCTGTGCAAAACTAAAAACAAAATGCTGTTACAAGTTATAATAAAATATATAAAATAATAATAATAATAATAATAATAATAACAATAACAATAATAACAATACAAATAATAACAGTTTCCCATCTATTGAGATTTGCAATGTATTTTTAAACAAAACAGGATTTGCAATACTAAAGTGTAGCTTTACATTTAGGAAAAAAAAACTCTGTCAAACTTTCTAATGAACATTTAGATTTACATTTGAAACTTGCCTCTGAAACAGCTAAATATCACTTAATTTGCAGCATACGGCAAGAAGGCTTATCCAGACAGCTGCACATTGCGAAGATGCTACAATAGCAATAAGCAACAGCATCTGCATGGTTTATGACATCAGCAAATCAAAGTCAAAACTAAATTCAATATCTAGTGACACCAGCACCAGCAGACACCAACAGGGTTATGAAAGGATCTATGTTTTGTTGTGAGGATGATTCTGTATATTTCTAGTTCCTTCAGTGTCATGATGCTGGAGCTCCTACTTTGAGTTTAGTGTTTTTTTGTTATAACTGCCTTCTTAAACACTTGTTTATTTATTGTATGCTTCCGATTTCCTTTTACTTAAATTTCACAAGATACAGTTTTTGGACTTCATACCAACAGTAGCGAGAGACAAAAGACAGTCAATGTGCATTTTTTTAGCTTTTAAGCCATATATAGCTTTAATGCTATAATCACTGTTGCAGAATCTTAAGAAACACTTCCCATTACATTGTAATATTTGGCATACTTTATCCTTATTTGAGAGGAGTTGGTCTTTTTGGTATCTTTTTCTATTCTGCTGTTGCTATTCAGTTAATCCATTGGTAGTTCTAGAGGTATTTTGAGGGAGCGAAGTCGGGACATATGATCAGGTTTCGTTTTCTTAATTTTTCCTTCTTGGCTTTGTGACATGCTGCGTTATGGTTTCAATAAATGTACTGGGGCCTCACATTAAAATTTCATCAAGGTCTGCAGTAGACCCTCACTCAGAATATCACAATATGTACTAACGCTTGTAGTTCTCTTTACAAAAATTGACTACCCTTATTTGATACTACAAAAAACATATCCACCACACTGCACTACTGCCTCAACATTGAAAAGTCTTGACAGGGCTATGAGTATAAACTATCCAGGCTGCTGCCAGCACCCAGTCTCTCTTAATGGAAGCAAAATCACTCAGCACTGCAATTATTAAATATCCACTTTTCCGTAACCCACTTTTTAAAGGTCTTGGTACCACTGTGGTGGTCTCTGAACGTTCGCATCACAATGATTCACATGATCATTGTAGAGCAGTAATAGTTATCCTAAAAATGATAATAGTAATTAAGCAGATTCACTTTCTTCTGTAAAGCATCTTACAAGTGGACCCTCACAGTATCGTTGTGCTAATGTAAAAGGCGGACAAGAGACTAGTCTCAATCATTCCTGGCAGGCAGTTCATGTGAAGGAGGCTCCAAGGACATGCGTCTAAAATGTCTTTCAAGATGTGACGTCAGACTTGAGATTTCAAAGTGGACACATCATAACATAAGTGCCAGTCAGCAGAAGCCAGTTTAGAAGTACAGATAAACTGGGAATTGCTCATTTGGTGATTTCCTTCCCAATCTCACCAGCACTTGATATTTTTACAACTTAAATGGGAATTCCTATACATTTTCTAAGAGATAAATGATAATCACCATTTGCTGTTATGGCTACTTACTATTTAAGTATTTTACGACTAAAAAACTGTTTGTCAAAAAAGCTCGTTTTGTCCTACTAGCTGCCATTTCACTACTTTTGGCTCTCTTCACTTTCTTTAAAGTCCCTGTTTTCAGATGAATGCTGTTTCTTATCTCAGTATGTCCAGTCACACTGAGGAAATCATCCAACACGTTGGTGTGAGTCTCACTTACTTGACACAACCAGCTTTCATGGCACCTTGTATCCTGAATCAAATGCTGTGGCTTGTGTCATGAGAACTAAGTTACAGGCTTCAGAATGTTATTTTTTTTCCAAATTAAATGCCACAGCCATTCCGAGACAATTAGGAGTCGGCCATCTTGCGGATGATGAAAGCCAAACATCTTTCTCTCTTGGGGATTTAACCCACTTTGTGACTTTCTCCACACTGCTGGTATAGCCTGAAGTGCAGTTACAGAAAACAGAACACTTCTGGTTGCACTTCGAGCTTCCAAACTGAAAATGCACCTTAAGTGTGCTGACATAAAAGGAGAGCTATTTAGACATTTTTCTTTTCTTTTACCTCAGCCTTTATTTATAGAAAGAAACTTGTACATATGATAAAATCAGTGCAGTCCAGCTATTAATATACCTTTTTTTCAGAATGTACACATTCATAAAATAAATGCCATTTACCGATTATCCAGTTATTTTCTCCACATCTCAGTTGTACTTGTTACCTGTGTCACTACATCAGATATGCAGTATTGACATTCAGAAGGTCTGCATGGCGTGATAACAGATAGTAAGGAAATTCCATGTACTGTATATTGAAAGATCATTATATTTCATGACTGAAAGCATTATTTATTTAAAACGAAAACAGAAATTAATTTAAATCAGAATTGGTTCACTATTGATTGACCTGATAAAGGCATTTAGAAACTACATTATATTCACTTGTAAATACTATTTATTTACTGAGGTTTGTAAATTGTACGATCCAATAAAAGCATTTTCTCCTTCATTTGTTATCCTGCTCTCCCTTTGACACGGTAAAACTGTTCTTAATTACATGCTGTAAGGCATGTAAGGCAAGTGTGATCTAAGAGATACATATCAAGAGCTACCAAGAGCCTGTCATAGTTGACTTATGCTGATTGATCTTGCACATTTAAGTCGCTGTGTATCAAAGATGGAGTTATCAACTTTTAGAACATTTTGCAACAGCATGTAGATTAAAAACTATTTTGAGATATTCTCACTCTGTTCTCATTTGATTTTTCTTAAATATCTGTTTCCAAATTTCTATCTATTTATATATAATGTATATTTATTAATATTGTTAAAAATTGCAGTTAAAATTAATATTTTATGAAAAAAACATATTGGTGTAAGATGGTGTACAATACAATCAAAACTACATTGTAAGGAAAGATAACACTAGAACAGGAAACTATAAATTGACAATAAAACAGCAGAAGAGCTTCATGGCTTGTCTGAAGACAACACACGGTGTATCTACTCCAGCTCAAATATCCTGGAACAAAAGCAGCTTGTCTGGTATATTTTTGTAATGTTAGAAAAAATGAGGACAGGTTTCCCCACAGTCAGAATATCTGCTAAGTGCAAACACGCTCAGGACATACTCTAGTACAAATACCCAAGGGACACTGCACGCCAGCAAGTAAAATCATCACATTGCTCCCATCTCATTGCCCATTCCACTCAAAAGGTAGCAGAAATAAGAAAATGGTTTACACTTTATGCAGTATTACAGAAAAACACACCAATCTCCATGTCTGTTGCAGACCTAAGCAATGATGTTTGATATGCTTGTTTAGTACTCTCGGTCTCCTTCTACAACGCAATATCTGAAAATTTTTTGATTACACAGCATGCAGGTCCAGAGAGAAATACTGCCAGCACTTCCATTCAAGTGTAAATGCAAAATACCAGTACAGATTGTACCAAATTCTAGCTAAAAATGAATTCATGTTTTATACAATATTTCTGTACTCTGGAACTAAGCTATCTCTCTCAAGGTAATTTTCTGATGCCACAGGGAAATTTTCTCTTTGAACATGCTTCCCAATAGATCTCTAGTTCTGGTGCAAAGCATTTCAAAGAGTAGGCTATTCTGTAGGGGTATATTTCAAAAAGCATGGAGGGTGCCAGATAAGCAGTGATGAAAGTTACACATAGAATCGAAACATCTATATGTAACTCATTTTTAACTATATTTGCAATATCATCAATCCAATGATAGAAAACACAAGATGACCGGAAAACTATGAGCACAACTTTACGTACGATATATTTACCACTGTAAATATTTTGCTCCCAGATATAACCAAATACATGTTTATAACATGTTTATGTGGATTCTGCACATCGTGTTGATTTAAAGGTTGAAAGGCATCTTATTATTTTAATAATTAGTTATCGTTACATTATTCAAGCAAGCCATTCAGGTCAAGAAAATAAAGCATACACTATATGACATATGCCACTGCTGTAGAAAACTTAGAAAAGCCAAAAAGTTTTGAAAAAGAGCACATGCCCCAGTCCTACCGATCGTATGCCATTCTCAAAGGCCTGTCTAGCAAGGGAGGCTGGTCCATCCACAGTCTTGCCATCATCATCGGGACCCCAGCTGGCACTGTAGATGTCAATGTGTTGTGGATGTAGGCTCAGAGACTTTGCTTCCACCATATCTGTCACATCACCATCCAGCATCCGTACACCTTTGCAAAATACAGAAATGTCACCGCATCAGCAAGGTCTCTGACATTACTCAGGAAGCCTGGAATGATTTCCCCCAGGATGTAAAATAAAGCTGTACTTTACAGCTTTAAAAAAAGAACAAATTACTTGTGGGGTTTCTAACAGTTTGCATTGTATGCATTCATTGTGGAGACAGTGGTTTTTTGGAATGCATTTGACGTTCTTTACAATACTACTCTAAGTGCAAAATAAAGCTCACCCAAATCTAGTATATGATATGCTTATTAAAGTACCTAATGTACTATATAACTAGTATAGAAAATGGAGGAGATATTGTTAGGGATCCCTGGTGAGAAGATACACGGATCCTGTGCAGACGCAGGCACGGGTGATCGATGAGGCAGGCGAACAAACCAGAACGAGAGGCAAGGTCGTAGTCAAAAGGCGAAAGGCAAGTCGTAATCCAGGAAGTTCACCGGTAGCAGACAGTCCGAGTCGAGAGGCGAGGTGCAAAGTCGAAAAGGCAGAAGGGGAATCCAAAAACCAGAATAAACGAGGTACGGGGAAAAACGCCAGGTAGAGCTCTCAAGGAGTAGACTCAATACCGAGCAGTGGGAAGCAGGT